GTATAGTTTAAGGACCATTATTTTGGAAATATGAGAAGAACCATATGCAGACTATAGTAATCCATTTTTTAATGACATTTAGGGGAGAAGTAAAAAATGGCCTATTTCTAAGTAGAAAAAAGAAAAAATCAAAATGTCCTGACATAAAAAATGTTAGGACATTTAATAATAATCATATGATATGTAACTTATGAGGTGGGTTTTCGTTTTATTAAATTTATCATATAATTATTATTAAATATTTTAACACTTTTAATGCCAATGCATATTGATTTCCCTTTTTCCTTCTCTAGTATTCCATTACTTTGAGGGCTTACAAGTAGGATCCTAAATCTTATTTACTTTGAAAGTTTAGGGGCTTCATGAGGCAATCCATGATCCATCCCTCTTCATTGTTGATACTAGTGTAGCGTCCACCCGCAGTCCCCTGCAAAAAGCAAAAACAGTGGTCTCAGACAGAGATGAGTGGGGAAGGGAAGGTGGTGTGTGTCACCGGAGCGTCAGGATTCATAGCATCTTGGCTCATAAAGCTTCTGCTCGATCGTGGGTACACCGTTAAAGCCAGCGTTCGTGACCCAAGTCAGTTCTTTCCACCATGAATATAAACACGTACTCTGTCTCTATTTTTTTTTTATTTTTAGGTTAATCTTCCACAATGGTTTCTGGGTTTGTTTGAAATGTGTGACAGATGATCCGAGTAAAACAGGGCACTTACTCGCCCTCAATGGAGCCAAGGAAAGACTTCATTTATTCAAAGCAGAGTTATTAGATGAAGGGAGTTTTGATTGCGTAGTGGACGGGTGTGATGGCGTTTTTCACACAGCTTCGCCCGTGTTTTTGGCAGCTAATGATCAACAAGTTCATCTCTTACCATTTGCGTTACTGTAACACTATCACTGATGGATCTAATAAAAGGAAATTCCATTTTCGATTCAGGCGGAATTAATCAATGCTGCGGTGAAGGGAACACTTAATGTTCTCAAGTCATGTGCAAAAGTTGCATCAATTAAGAGAGTTGTTCTAACATCTTCAATGGCTGCAGTTTCATACAATGGGAAACCTAGCACTCCAGATGTGGTAATTGATGAGACTTGGTTTTCTGATCCAACTTTCTGTGAGAAATCCAAGGTATATATATGATTTATCAATTATCATTACCTTTGCTTAGTCCGATGTATATATACATACATACATTATGAATAGGAGATCAATTTTGAATCATATAAAAATGGCTAAACATAGCAGTATATGTGTATTATTATTAGCTTTGGTATGCGCTTTCAAAGACATTAGCTGAGGATGCTGCTTGGAAGTTTGCAAAAGATAATGGGATTGATTTGGTAACAATAAATCCAGGAGTGGTGATCGGTCCTATTCTACAACCAACTCTTAATCTCAGTGTGGAGCTCATATTGAACATTGTCACTGGTAATTAACCAGTATATATGTAATTGCAGTTATATTGGATAATAGTAGTAATTGTTATGTCTATAATACAGTCTAGTCTGTGCTGAAATGTGTTTTGTATGCACTATGCAGGTCGGGAACTCCCACCATTTAATAGATTTGTGGATGTTCGAGATGTTGCATATGCTCATAATCAAGCATTTGAGATTCCTTCAGCTGCTGGCAGATACTGCATGGTTGAAAGCACTGTAGACGTTTCTAAGTTGTGGAAGATCTTGCATCAACTTTTCCCTGAGTTCCACCTCGATGAAAAGTAAGTTGAGTTTCAATTTCTTTTTTCACACTGACTGCATCAGATATCATTTTATGTTTTTATAATCTGATTGATTTTTTGTTTTCACA